ATTCGTCTGACCGCTCCTCTGCCAGTGATTGCTATCTTTTTTCTTTTCTTGCGGCCCCCAACTGGGCAGCCTTTCTTTTCTTGCCACCTGCTTCTTGAGCAGGCGCATCCTCCTTGACAACGTCAAGATCTGCTTTTTCACCACCTGACCCAGCGCCCACCACAGTGGGTTTGATATCCGAGAGGTAGCACTCCCGAGCCATCTTCTGATCTCCCCTTAGGGAGCCGACTGTTCCATCGTCCTTCTCAAATTTGAGCAACATAAGAGATGAAATAATAACAGCTTTTGAATTATTTAGGGTAGGTCATCCCAGAATCATGTTGTAGACCGAGAGTTCCTCAACTACCAGGAACCGGACCACCATGTGACGACCCTCCCCCTTTTCACCCTGGCGGATGGGTAAATCCACTCGCCCTACAGGGTGGACTCCACCTCCTCCAAACCCTACTAAAGGGTGGGATACCGGATGTATGCAATCAGTCTTGTATTTGAGCTTTGACAGACACTTGCTACTGATAAGGTCGGAGGAACTGCCGGTATCTATGAGGATTCGGCCAACTCTTTGGTTGACCACTTTGCATTCAATAACAATGGGGTCATCATGCGGCCCCTTAACCCGTCCTAAATCTTCTTCTGTGATGACAATTTCAGGGAATAAATTTTTGGAGGGCCGTTCTTGGTGAACGGAATTGACATCTAGTCGCCTGATATTGTCTTTATTGCCCCTGATAGTAGGGCCGCCTCCTGAGAAGCCGCCTGAAATTGTGTAGACGACTACATCATCTGTATCGGAACTATCGGCCTGTTGATTCTTTTTGGCCGACTGCTTATTTTTTGAGGAAGTGTTCCCCTTAGACTTCTTGACATAAGAGTCAAGGTCGCCTTGTTCAGCCAGGCGGTCTAAATATCGCATGAGACTTATGCATTCGTTGGTTTCATGACCAACGTCTTCATGATAATGGCAGAATTTATCTCGGTTCCGATTGCTCGCAGAACCCTTCATGGGGGCCGGCTTCTCAATTGAGATTCGGCCCTTGATTTCTTTGAGGATAGCTTGACTATCCTTGCTGAACGCATACTTTGGAGAGTATGGTTTGAACTCTTTCTTCTTCTTTTGGGCCGGATGTTTAGAGGAATCGACCGCCCAGACTTCTTTTCTCTTTTTATCATCTTTATTGGCCGACTGCTTTGGTCGGCCTTCTTTTTTGTCGGACCTCCTTCCGTCCGACTGTTTTCCAGTACTACAGAGATCAGTCGCCTGTATATAGGCTTCTGCTTCGATCAAGGCTTCTTGAAGAGTCGCAACCCTCTTTCGAACCAGGTCAAACTTGAAGGTCGACCCGTCCTTAAGACCTCTGAAAAAGTCAGTATAGGCTACCTCATCCGGTAGCCCTTGAATTTGTATCCTCATCAGGTTGAACCGCCTGATGTAAGAACGGAGCCCCTCCTTCTCGCCCTGCTGAATCGTCCCTAAATCAAGAGTCGTCTTCTTTGCAGGAATGTTCTTGGCGAATTTGGAGGTGAATAAGTAAGCAAGCGTCCTGAAGTTGTTCACACAACCAGTCGGCAGATTGCCGAACCATTGCTGTGCGATTCCTTTCAGAGTCGCTGGGAAACACTTGCACCAAGTGGGATCATCCAACCCTTGGAGATACATTAGGTTGGTGAACGCCATCAGATGGTCTTCAGGGTTAGTGGTGCCGTCATAGGCGCCTACTAACACATTTTTAACTTTGGCCGGCTGAGCGGCTTCAGTAATTTCCTTGGAGAAAGACGCGGTTGTTCTCCAAGTCTTAGCAACCGTAGTTTCCAGTCCAAAGGCTGGACATTTTTTGCCGTCTGTCCTCCAAACAGAGGTGGCTGCAGAAAATATTGTTGTTGCGGTACAAATGGTAAGTTTGGTACCGCTTGGTCGTTATGAAATCCAGACCGACGGGAGGTGCCGTCTGTCTGACTCTCATGGTTTGACTGAGTATACCTCATAGAGGTATTGTGCAAACTATCTTGGAAATCTGAAGTGGAGGCCGACTCTGACAGTCGGTCGTTCTTCTTCTGCTCTAGCAGTAGCCGAGCATTTGAGTATGTTTTCTTTGACCCGTCCACCTGTATATGACGAACGGGCTTCCTCTTCCCTGGTGTGGGAAAACGGTACTTCGTGAAGTCAAGCACAGGCGGCTCCCACTTCCGAAAGTTAGGATGCGGGGTCGCCTCTCGTCCTTGAACATGTTTCCTTCTTCCTGAATGGGAAAGCTTTTTAGTCGACTGCTCCTTAGACAGAGCAGGCGTCTTCTTGTTGATCAGTTCTTGGATATCCCCCTTGAAGCCCCTCATGAAGGTCATGAGTTCGTTTCTTGTAATGGGAGCAGATCCTTCAGCCGCCTGTTGCTGATCAAGCGGTGTGCCAACTGGATCACTGAGTCCAGTTTGATGATCTACCCATTCTTTCCTTTCGGTGTGACGGGAGCGTCGGGCGCTTAGGGTCCCGTCTGAGGCTGTGCGTGCTTCAACTTCAACCTCATTTTCAGTATCATGATCTGAATGAACTTGAGGGTCGTCCAGGGGACGCCTCTCTTCTAGAGTCGGTACAGACGTAGATGCCATCTCAAAAGTACTCTCCCCACAGACGGCGCCAAAATGTTTCGGGGTTTTCTGATGTCCTGCGGGAGAGTTACAATTCTGAGACTGGAACTGGACACCTGTACCTGCAAAACAAACGGAGACTCCGAGTGACTGGAGTTCCACCTCCAACGGTCAAGTTAGTACTTGTTTTAGGAGTAAGCAATGCGAAAAAGTGTAAATGAGTCTCTCTAGGTGAGAGTGTTTAATGTGCGTAATCCCCTTTAATGAGGATTAATGAAGGTATTTATAACCTTGGGAAGCGTGCCAATTTCTAGGTTTAGGTTAAACCTAGAGCTGACTGGGCCTCCCACAAGGATTGGGCCTTGTTGGCCGGTTATCCCATGTGTCATGGGGTGGACACGTGTTGTGTCGCAATTAGTCCATGGTGGACGGATCACTGACTGACACGTGGCAGGCTCCTATTGGCCCATGTGAAGGACACATGGCGGAACCTGGTTGGACCATTTGTCAGATAGTGATTGGTGGGAGAAATCCCCTAATCATCAGTCAAATGCGAATTGAGTTGATGAAGAGTGCAACGAATGAGAGAAATTTTTCTTTGGATTTGGTTTTGTCATAGGTTTTGTTTGGGATAGTGATTATGTCCTTCAAGTAGTAGGTTGTTGTTGGTTGTTTTTTGGTTGTGTTGTAGTTGTAATGTGTAGCTGTTAAGACTGATGATTGAATAAAAAAGGATTCCCTGTCTTTTGCTAATTGTTAGTTATTTTTTTGTGTAATTGTTCACAGGGAAAAAAAACAGCAAATTGTTCACCAAAATAGACAAATTGTTCACTAATTAAAAGCAACAAACAGATTGTTCACTAATTAAAAGCAACCCAAAAAAAAAACACCAAATTGTTCACCAAGAAAGATAAATTGTTCGCTAATTAAAAAACCAACCCTAGTTGAATTACACCAACACATTGTTGCCAAAAGAAGGCTTCATGAGTTCAACTAGTACTGTCATACATCAGATGTGGCTTGTCTGAGTGGGATGCACATTTTGGGTGACTTGTGAAGGACCCTGGTTTACATCAGACTGAGATGGACCCTAGTTTATTGCAGCAGAACCATCAGCTGCAAACAGCACTCCAACACCAACTGGAAGGCTAGTCCTGCCACCTCTAGAGCCCCTTCCACCTCTTGAGCCCTTCCCACCCCTTGAGCCCCTGCCACCTCTTGATCCCTTGCCACCTCTTGATCCCCTGCCACCTCTTGATCCTCTGCCAGCCCTTCCCTGTCCTGTTGTAGATGCAGTGCTACTTTCTCTACCAGAAGTTGAGCTAGTCCTTCCCCCTCTTGAGCCCCTGCCTCCTCTGATCATTCTACCACCCTTACCAAGTTGGCTGGGTTGTGTTGTAGCCTGATGATGTGACTGAGCCTCTGCATCAGTATCAGTAGGTGGGTATTGTGGTTGAGGTTGAGCTGCAATTGCTTACTTCTTGGTGGGAGGCTTACTGGCAAAGGAGGTTAGATTAGGTTACTTCCTTTTGTTGTGGCCCTTCAATTGGCAATTACTGCATGTCATCTTCATCCCAGTCTTAGTGAGGTGACTAGGCTTTGAAAGATTTTCATGGGGATCTTTGATCCTATTTTTCTTGGGTCTGCTAGGCCCTATTTTTATTGGGGGAGGATCCAAAGCCCACTGAACTCTTGGCCAGTGACTCTCCCCTTCACAAGGTGGAATTGACCCTACAAGACACAACAAGTTAGATGAATATAGTTGTCAATCAATGAACATTATGTGTAACAACATACAAGGTTCATACCTGCATATGCTTTGAAATACAAGTCTTTCCAGTAACATCTGTCCACATAAGCCTCAACTTCCTTGTGCAAGAAAAAAAATGCATGCCACTGCATGACAGCATGGTATTCCAACCATGTCCCACTTTCTACAAGTACAAGTTCTAGCCTCTAAATTAACCATTAAGGAATCCAACTGATAGCTGACATTAAACAAGGTCTCTGATGAAGGCATAACATCACAGTAAGCAGCCTTGTTCTTCTCTAATTCTAACCTTTTCTGAATGTTTGGACACAAAACAGAGCTGCATTTATGCATTTCCATCATTTTCAACACAAGCCTCTGCATTAGGCTTGCCCTTATCTCTTCAAGCATATAAATCAGATGTTTTGTTCTTGCATTGATGATATAGCCATTCAAAGTTTCTACCATGTTGCTGGTGATTGCATCTGATTTGACAGAAGTGTTCAGAAAAGCCCTACAGAAAAGTTTTGGATTGTATGCTGTGAATGCATTTGCTGCATCAAGATCTAGTTTTTTTCTCCAAAGCCTCAAGATTTTCATTGTAATCTGCCATGTTGTATAACTTAGTTATTTTCCAGAACATCAGCTTCAGTTCATCCCCTTTGCAGGTCTAATGCCACAAAGCATATATGTGCCTAGCACAATGCCTGTGTTCAGCCTTAGGGAGAACATTTGTCACACCATTCAAAATGGACTAGTTCACATCAAAAAGTAACAATGAAATTAAAATCAATGACTAGCACATCATACACAAAGAAAAATCAAAGAAGCTTACAAATACTCACCATATATTCATCAGATATGATGCACACACCCTCACCATCCCCTAGGCCAAGATTGTTCTTCAACTGCTCAAAAAACCATTCCCATGATAAGTTGTTCTCCCCTTCTGCTACTGCCCAAGCTATAGGGTACATCTGCTTATTCCCATCCCTTCCAACAGCTGAGAGTAATTGCCCACCTAAGAAGGTCTTCAAGAAACACCCATCCACACAAATTACCTTCCTGCAGCCATCTACCCATCCCTTTTTCAGACCTTCAAAACAAGTGAACAACCTTTGAAAAACAGGTGGTGGTGCAGGCTATTTTTTCAGTTTTGTTACTGTCACCAACTCAACACAGCTACCAGGACTGCCAGCCTTCAAAGTTGTTATGTAGCCACCCACCTTTGCATAATGTTCATGCATTGAGCCATGAAGCATTCTATGAGCTGCATATTTCACCTTGTATGCAAATCCTCTCTTAACAACTACCTTAAAGGCCCTTCTGATAGTTTTAACTATCTCTTTTGCTGGCCAATGAGGTCTGTTCTTGAAAACCTCTAAAAATTGTTTAGCTACCCACTTTGACTTCAACTGTCTGTTCCTTTTCATGTTCCTGTGACAAGTGTGCTCCAACTGCACAGTCTTCACAACAAAAGTTGCCCTCCTACTCTCCCAAGCACCATACAAATAGAAAGCACAACCCTCCACACACTTCACACCTAAACTCTGATTTACCTTAGTGTTTCTTATGTCATAAGTGAGATCCCTTCCTTGTAAAATGGCATAATTAGATACTGCATCCCTGAAAGCATCCCTCGATTAAAACCTCTGCCCCGCCTTCCAAGTGAAAACACTGAAATCAGTGTCTGCACTCACTAAGTTCCCTGCCCTCTTCCTCCTTTGCTCTCTAGTTTCTTCCTCATCTTCACTGTTTGCTGGGGTTATTAAATCATCCTCACTCTCATCATACTCACTAGCATATCCCTCTACAACAACTTCAGGTTCTTTCCAACCCCCCCATCAGCCTCACAACCTAGCTTACCCTCAGCAGCCTCCCTCTGTAGCTGATTTGCTATCTGTAGCAACTTGGCAGTACAACTTCTCACTCTCTCCCTTGCCGTCAAAGCCTCCTCATCTACCTCAGAGTCATAACCATCATTTTCACCACTTAACATCTCATTCGGTTGCTCATCCTCATCATCCATATCATAACTACCTTCAGATTCATCCCCTTCTCCTTTTTTTTCCAGTGATAATACTTTTCCCTTTATCAATAGCTGGGTCATACAGTGGATCTTGTTCATCTCCACTTACATCCTCATTGAATCCCAAAAGCTCTGCCCAATCTAAAGGACTTTTTGGCCTATTGTCAACCCAGTCATCTTCATCACTAAGAAGGAGTGTACTGTTTGAGGTCAGATTTGAAATGGAGGAGTTATCAATAAGAACAGGGGAAGGCTGGTAGAAGGTAGCTAAAGGAAGAGTGTTTAGTTTTGATTTGCCTTTGTCTTTTGGGAATATAGAAGTAGATTGGGTGGTTGTATCTGTATTTGTGGAAGGACATACTATTATTGATGTGGGAGCATCTTTCTGGGTGAGAGAATCTTTTATCATTAAAGGTAAATGTGGGCCCCTCTTTATTATAGTTTATGCCTTGCAAGGTCATGGGTCAAAGGTTGGCAGTGTGTTGTTTGTACTTGGGGTTCAATGGGATCTAACTTAGGTATTTCAACCCCTTTATGTACATATATCTCCAAACACCTAAACTTCAAAAGAATCTCCCTCATCCCATTCACTTCATTGTCAGAATAAACCTTCCTTAACCCACTCCCTAATGGCCACCCTGGTTCCAAATACCACAAAACATCCACATTTTCAACCCCACATTGTTTTGCAAAGTCCTCTAACCACCACCAACATAACTCATCAGGATCAATACTAAAAGTCCTAGCTTTTCCACCCTCATACACTAATGTCCTATTATGCAAAGTTTTAAAAGTTTCCCCATACCAGTACTTAAGAGTTACAGTAGCAAAAGGATCCATATCTGGCATTTACCAACATGAAAAATACCAAATTTCAGACACAAAATTAACAGCAACAATCCAATTAACAACAACAATCCAATTAACAACTAAACCTAAGTCCAAAACGCAATTAACAGTGCGCAATTTCAGTCCAGAAAATCCGTAAAAATTGACAATTTCGCACACAATTTTGCAATTAACAACGAAAATAATCAGCTTTAGGGTTCTACAAAGAACATATCACTTACGTATGAGTCGAGGACCCCAATGGCTTTCCCAGTAGCTTTAATTTCACTTCAATGCTTGCACCAAACCAGTACAATCGCAAACCAATTTAGGAAAAAAATATTTGGGGACCAGCAATTTGCAGAGAAGATTGTTGTGCGGAGTGAAAGTGAAAGAGGAATAGAGCGTCATTTGGGTAATAGGGGAGGAGAAGCGCGCTTTTCCCAGCATTAATGGCTGATTCGACATGGTTGGTTGAAGAGTAATGGCGCTTCAATTGGTGTTGGAGGGAAACTAACTTCCCAAAGGTCAACATGGCTAATGTTGACTTCATTTATCGGTTGCAGGTAAACTCAGTCCATTATGGGCTAAAAAATGCAAACTTTTGTCAAAAATGGAAAGATTTAAAGGTTTGTTCATTCTTGAAGAACCGGCCAAAGGTTTGTCTACTCATATTAAAAAATCCAAAAAAAAATCACTACACCGAAGAAGAAGAAGAGGAGAGAGAGAGAGAGAGAGAGAGAGAGGGAGAAGCCTCAAAGGAGGGAGAAGCGAGGAGGGTGAAGAACAACATTTGAACCAACACAACAGCAGCAGCAAAGTCGATGCTTCTTTGCTCCATTTTCTACTCCCTTAAACACTGAAAACATCCACCATAATTTCAATTCACATTCAATCCATAAACCCTGGATTTTCTTCTTCTTCCTGATTAAATCTTGCGCGATCAGCGCATGATTCCTTCTTCTTCATCTGCAGATCAATCATGGCGAATTACTTAGCGCAGTTCCAAGCTATCAAAAATACCTGCGATCATCTCGTCATTGCTGGTACTCTCTTTCTCTCTCCTCTCGTAAACTTCAATTATTATTTTTGCTGAACAATTGCACAATTCAGAAGATTAGCATTTTGATTTCAATGATAATTTTTTGATTTGCTGTTTGATTGATCCAATGAAATCTGTTTGTTGCTTGATTTGCATTGATTCGATTTCGCAACTCACATTGTTTGATTTTATAATTCTGATGTTTGAGAGTGTAAGATTACTAATACAATGCAGAACTTAGTTCTAGGGTGCAATTATTGATATGGAATTATTGGGATATCATGTAACTTGATTTCCTTTAATCTGGGCAATACAGAGTATGTGGTAAATCGATAATTGTGCTGATTCAATGGAGTTATCGGCTTGCTAGTAAGAAAGTAATTTGAGGACAGGGTATCAATCTTTCACATAGGAATCTACTAAGGAATTGGATTTTGGACTATATTAAAACTTGATGCTCACTTACTAGATGGCCTTGTCCAAGGTATATGAGAAATCACGCCTCGTACATTTTTATTGATATTGTCGTTTTTAAGGAAGAGTGAATTTAAGGAGTAGAAGCAAAAAAAATTTAAGGATTGATTACAGATAGGGGGGGGGGGGGGAGGGAGGGGGTACTTCTTAAGATAAACATAGAAAAGCTCCTCGCATTTAACTAACACATTAAGTCATTAATTGAAAAATATACAGTCAACGTTAGCGTACATTAATCCACAAAAAAAAAAAAAAAATGGTTAGCGAATAGTGATCAATAGCCATTTGAGTAAACTATGTTCTAGTATTGTGAGATGGATACTTGTAAAGTTGTAATACCATGTCATGACTTCAGCCTGGAAGACATAACAGTTACCAATGTTAGAAGCCTCACCATGGGGAGGTATAGGCAAGGTCTTTTTTTTTTTTTGGTTACCTTTTTTCTATTTGAGCTCTTATGTTCGTGCATATCTATATTAAATCATTGATCCGTTTGTTCTTGTTCTTTTATGCTGCATTTACATTTGTTTATTTGTCAACATTCATTGCTAATGCACATACAACTATGTTTCAGTCGAAGATGTGAGTGATTTGTGGCCAAATGTCAAAAATTTATTTGAAGAGCGGCTTCCATTCAAAAAGGCTTGTCTAAATAACAAGACTCGGAATCCCGTGTTTCTGGAGAAACTGCCAGCTGAATATATATTGACCACAGATTCAAGGCTTCGCAGCCGCTTCCCACAGGAGCAGTCACTGTTTTGGTTTCGGGAGCAGTATGCTACTGTGGTACTTGTTACATGTGAGGTAAAAAATTAAATTTTCTATCACTTTCTACTGTTCTCCTTGTTCCTTCAATTTAAAATTAAGTGTTTCTCATGCGTTTTCTGTGAAAATTGACAAAATTCTTCTTGTATAGTTTATTCCATTTTGTGATCCCAAAGGCCATGGCTGTTCTGAAATTGATACATCCTTATTGAATTAGAAAGTTCTTGATTTTACATTTTCTTAATGATTGAGTGTCAAAGTGTTTTGCAGCCTTCTCGGTCATTATTTTTTTTTTACATTTTCATTTGCATGGTCTTCAAGATGTATCTATGACCATTAGTATCTAGTTACTTAATAACAAATAATTATAAAAAGTTATGCACTGAAAGGATTCCAACAATATATCACAAGAGTGTTTTTTTGTATGTATTAATGATATTTTTTGGTCAAAGTTTTTAAAGATTGATCATGAAAAGAGGGCAGAGGGAGTATTAGCAAGGGTAATACGAAAGGAGGACAAGGTGTCCTTACAAAGAAACTCTTAAAAACTACAAATTTGTCCAATTCCTCTTCATCTTTCCTAGAGAATAATTTGAGAAAGGCCCAGCTGCTATAGCACCTAAAGAGGCTAGTGAAGTCGCATTGTCCAATATCAAATCACGTGGGATAGACTCATGCTTAAAAGTTCAACTATTTCTTTCTAGCCAAGCACACCACAATAATGCCATGTCATCACTGAATTGTGCCAAAGCATTGTCTTCTTCACCCTACCAAAATCCAAATTAAAACTGTAACCTCTCTTGAATGTATTTGATTCGAATATATTACTGATATTTTCCTGAGAGCCACATCATTACGTGATTTGGAATAAAGTAACTTGCTTTGCTTCCTTTTCTTACCTTTATATTTTCATTTCTTTGCTGATATGAAATTATGATTAATGTTTCTTGTATAAAATTTGTCTGCAGTTACTGTCTTGGAATTTGGTGCGGAAGTTATCATTTTTATAGGTTTCCAAAATTTTGGTAGTTATGTTTTTTAGTTTATTTTTTTTTTTTTTTTTTTTTGGGGGGGGGGGGGTGTTATTGAGCATAGTTATGAGTGAATTACAGGCATACTCAATGTTGTTGTTTAGCCTTACTCTCATTATTTGGTTGCAATTTTTCTTTGCTTCGTGTTTACTTGCTTCTATCCCTCGATATATATGCTGCAGGACCTTGATGAGTTTAAATCCATCCTCAAACCTAGAGTGAAATTGTTAACACAAAATGATGAGAAGGAGTGGTTCATTGTGTTTGTGAATAGAGCTCATCCCACCAATGATCAAGCTACCAAGATGGCGAAAAGGGTATATGTCAAGGTGGAAGTGGAATTCAGCTCAAAAAAGAGAGAAAGGTACTTTTAGTGCAAAAAGGAGCATATGTTTTCCTGCATTATGATTCTGCATAGTATATTTATGTCATTCCTAGAGCTTGTGTGACCTACAGAATTGACTTAAGGTGCAGTTTTACACCACATTAAACGTGCTTGTTTGGTCTAGTATACTGATCAACTAACAATTACAGTAACAATTTTTCCAATAATACTTGTATTGAGTGGAAGTATAGAATCACATAACTTGTTGTGTTTAGGATATATTTGTGTTCTGCGATCTTTTTTGGATTATTGGCAGACTCTGATAACCTTTGATCATGAGTATTTATAGCAGCTGTTGTTGTATCTGTCTGAATCTGCTCAAATTTATAGCATGAACAATCTTTATGTGATAGCTTCAACACATAATATGCTGAATTATTATTTGAGTGTAGCTTCCAAAGTTTAAACTACGCTTTTCCAACTATAGTAAACTGCAATTTAAATTGGAAGAGGGTTTGCATTGACTTGTGGCATG